CACTCACTCACTCACTCACTCACTCACTCACTCACTCACTCACTCACTCACTCACACTCTCATTCGCTCACACTCACACACTAAACTTTCCTTTAAAATACCCAACTTAGTTTCAATTTAGTATGAGCAAGAGAAGCACATGAAACAAATAACGGTCATATAGGCTACGTTTTTAAACATTTATTTAGTTTTTTGTGTTTGTCTGTCTGTCTGTCAGTGTAAAGAAAAAGTACAACGACCCAATAACGTGAGTGCTCTGGTGTTGTTTGCTCCTGCTTTCCTACCAAACGTCTGTCGTATTCATCCCTCCTCCCTTTTTGTACGGTGTGTCATTCTCTAGTAACAACACCTCTACTAATCGGTAATCTTATGATCTATTTGTGTTGCAAGTGCCGTAAAACTCTAACTAAAGCTAAACGAAAGAGAAGAAAAAAGTAATGGTGGTTTTTTTTTTTACATCTAATAGTTACTTAGAGGAAGCGAAAGCAGAAATGCCTGATCACGGCCTATTATGTATGGTTATTAGTTTGTTTGTTTGCTGTTTGAGAAACAAGAAGATAATGGTTAGCAGTAAGAATCTAATACTTTGACTAAGGTTATTATTTAGAGTATAAGTCCTGTGATTTAATCAAGATTAGAAATATGCAAGTAATCTTGGGTTAGGAATAATACTTTTATAGTTCTTGCGTTTTGATAGGGTCAGGATCAAGTAAAAAGAGCTAATACTAATAGTTTTTCTATTTCGTAATAATTAAGACTATAGACCTTATTTTGATAAAGATTGAGAAAATGAATCTTGTGTTTTTGCATATGGTTAGGATAATATATACAATAAACAAAATGTTGTATTCTGGTTTTCTGTTAGGGTCAGAAATATAGATTATGTGTTTTGATTAGGATTAGGAATATAGATCTAACTGTTGGATATGTAGGTTTAGAAATAAAGGAACAGCTACTGAATTAGTGTAAGTGATAGGAATATAGATTTAGAACTTGTTGCATGTGTCAGAGAGTATAGTGGCTTTGTGAATGTGTCAGAGAGTATAGTGGCTTTGTGAATGTGTCAGAGAGTACAGTGACTTGGTGAATGTGTCAGAGAGTATAGTGGCTTTGTGAATGTGTCAAAGAGTAAAGTGACTTTGTGAATGTGTCAGAGAG